CGATTAGGCAAGTGACTATTCTGTCAACTGTCCCGAAACGCGAGTGAAAGTCTTGTAATAGCAGCGTGCAGCGGCTCTTGTAGCGCAGACAAGATGCGCCGATGTGAAGCCGTTTGAAGAGAAAGTCGAAGAGAGAAGACGAGTACAGCTGAATCACTCACGCTGTTTCCAAATGACTGATTTGATCAGTCTGTGTGGACTGGACTCAGTCTGTAGGTTTGATTATTTACTCATCAAATCTACATGCTATAGGCCAGGGATCCTCAAATCTGGCCCACGAGATCCAGTTTCCTGCAGAGTTTAGCTCTAACCCTAATCAAACACACCTGAGCATGCTAATCAATGTCTTCAGGATCATTAGAAAATCACAGGTAGCCGAGTTTGATCAGGGTTGGAGCTAAACTCTGCAGCGCATTGGACCTCCAGGGTAAGATTTGAGGAACCCTGCTATAGGCTATTGAATAAATGTGTGAATATCCATCATTTTAAAGCCAAAAGCTGCGGGAATGAGTAAAACTATGCGATACAGCCTATGCGCAATCCCGCACCAAAATTCAGGACCTGATTAAACACATTTCTATTATACATAGTTTTGTGAAATAGATTTCAATTACTTTTCCAAAATTTTCTGGGTTTATTTCTTTTTCCAAAACTTTTCCAGGCCTGGAAATTGGTGTTTTAAAATTCCATGACTTTTCCAGGTTTTTCATGACCGTACGAACCCTGACAGTTTTTTTTTTTTAATGATATTGAAGATTTCTTCCAGTTGAAAATGTATTGTTGCTCTGGACCTTGAAACATAAGCCACTGGACATTAAGAAAGAGGTCCGACTCAGTTTCATTTCCGGTGCAGGGCTATTGCTCTTCTTCCACAGGATACTCTGCTAGCATTATTGCATAAACCAGAAGATCCTAGAATCTGCAATTTTAGCACAGTTCTTTTGAGCGGAAGACACCTCCATTGAGACTCTGGTATCAAGACATGGACTTACTTGGATGTTTGTGCTTAACTTCTGGAAAATCTCATAGATTTGATCCTTGAACCCACGACTCAGCATTTCATCGGCCTCATCAAGGACAAACATCTTGATCCATTTGGGAGCTGTAAACAACAACAACAAAAAAACTTAGTGTAATTCAAACCCTTACTAGACTGTTAAAATACGGTGGTCAAATGTATGATCAGTTAAGTTGTAAATGTCTCCATAACAGGTCAGTCCCGAAAGATGATACCATCATATCATACTGCATCCCAACTGGGCAGGTCTATTTTAGTCCAATTTATTTGCATTCACTACTTACACAGGTATCTCCTGTTCAGCATGTCAAACACACGGCCTGGCGTGCCAACGACGATGTGTGGAGCCTCCGCCTGGAGTTTTTGCATTTCGTTCCGCACATTGGTGCCTCCAATGCAGGCATGGCAAGAAGCGCCCATGTAGTCACCCAAGGCCAGGATAACCTTCTGAATCTAGAGAGCAGAGAGAGAAGAGGAAAAAAGAAAAACATTTAAAATAAAAAGAATGCTAAAATTCCTCAAGTACTGATGTTTGATGGTCACCGTGCACTAATAAAAGTCAAATATTGGACAGGTATGACCAGATAAAAAGGTCATCTCCATAAAACAGTCCCAATAACAGAATACCATCTGTCACTTTTGTCCACAGCTTTTCCATTTTGCTACAATCATCCCATGGAATTCACCTGGCAGTCCAACAACCAAACCATTAACTAACATCTAATTTACAACCACTAACAGTAAACACTCTTGTACTCAAGTAAATAATTCTGGCTGAAGCACTAACTAATTACTTCCTGCCAAAAAAATATATATACAAATTAAAATTACATCCACATTTAATGACTGATGGAGCAGGAAGAACAGCAAAAGAGTACCTTGAATCGGGCTACTGCCAGAATATGCCGCCTTGGTCTGAGACACTAAGTTTATGGTGACCTCAGGTACAGCATACCTGCTGAGCGAGCTCTCGGGTTGGTGCCAGGACCAGAGCCTGAGTCTCTTTCTGCTCAATCTCCAACTGCTGCAGGATGGAAATGGCAAACGTGGCCGTTTTACCAGTGCCTGACTGAGCCTGAGCGATAACGTCATATCCTATGGACAAATAAAAGAGCAATTCACACTAATGCATAACACATGCTATCAGTTGAGATTCACGCTTGAATTAAATAGACCACAAATAAATATACATTAGGCAAATTGCATACAAACAAATCAAACTTGTTTACTGAAAAAGCATGTCAAGCAAACGTTAAATGTAACTGAACTTGTTTGTACCTTTTATGCAAGGGATTATAGCTCTCTGCTGGATTGCCGAGGGTTTCTCAAAACCATAAGCGTAAATTCCACGAAGGAGAGTTTCCTTCAGGCTCATGTCATCAAAATTGTCCGTAATCTCGTTCCAGTTGCTCTGTAAAATAATGCATGCGAGATCTCACTTAATGCACTCAGCTCACCAAGCACAGACAATATCCTTACTGTAAGCTAATGGGACGGAGTAATATGCTGCCTTCAAAATCACGTCAAACAATGAGTACACATGAAAAGCACTGTAATATTGAAATTACAATTGGGATTTTCAATAAGCACCTTTGTTCTATATTGGGGCATGTCAGTTGGTCAAGTTTTAAATGGCAGCAAAAGCCCAGTTTGTTCCCGTCACACGTTCTCAAACTACTTACTTCTGAACTCATAATTAGGAGTCACTGCATTCAAGTGTTTGTAGTCGGAAAGAACAACATAGGACACCCGAATATAGGACACCAGTGTGGTCAGTTGCATAAAATGCTTAAAGTAGATTTATAAATTAATCATTTAATTTTCTTCTAAAAGACTGGTCATTATTTCACATAAATAATGTAAATTGGTCTAATTTGAATCGGGGAAAGGAGTCTTAAGACATAAAGGCTGAGTTTATGCAACTGGCTCGTTCGTTTTTGCTTATCTCCCGGGGAAAAATCTTATTAAAGCTGAAATTCACTGAAGTTATTAAAATGAATATCCAACAGATTCTGAAAATGAATCAAATTTATTAACTGGCAACCATATTATCATTACCCATGCTGTGGTATACATTCACCATGTTATCTGGACAGTTTGCTGGCAATTCTGAAATATCAGTCAAATGCTGTTTTCACCGTGTAATATGCATCTAATGGTTATTTACACATGCATAAATAGTTGTGAAGGCAAGAGAATTCAACAGATGCTGTGAATGGAAAAAATTACGTCACTGCAGCATCAGTTTCTTATTTAATCACCGACTGTTTACTTGTATTCAGGGAGCTTGAGTTTTGTTTCTATAAATTGAGGCTAGTATTAGTTTGTGATACCCGTGACAAGAATTATGAAATTTCTATGGTATCAAAAGGTTGATGTCATAAAGTCCTTATTTAAAGCAAAAAATAACTATATTGTGATATATATCGTTACCTAGAAATACGATTTCGGTCATATCGCCCACCCAACTCTCAAAATTGTCCCCAAGTTTCCCCAGTCACAAATGTGACTCGAGACCACTCGTGTCTAATTTCCAACTAGGAAACTTAGATGGCAACACGTAAAGGTGTGCTCACATTTATTCTTGCTAGTTAAAATCCAGTGGGCTTTACAGGAATCTGTGCAATCACGCAGATTCTGCTTGTGTTGAACATTTGCCGTGCTCACCAACAAAGTTGCTTGGTTTCAAAGTGATGTATGCGAGCTGCTATTCATGCATTATTACACTACTGACAATTTTTTGGCCCGCGTACCGTGAGGGAAGTACATGGATTGACCAAAATCTTCATCACCAACCCAGATATTTATTAGAAGCACTAAACTGACCCTCCAGACTTCACTAGGATACAAACCTCGATGACACCATCAGGCTCCATTCCTTCAGGCCCCCCATGGTCTCGATCTCGTGAGCTTAAAAATAAAATGGAGATAAACTTTTAGTACAAGAAGTTTCTAGTATCTCGAACCTTCAGTATGAAGGTATTTTTGGTGCAAAACAACTGAGTGACCGTGACAGCGGAATTTGTAGTTGTAGAGAATAGCCACACATGTGTATCAGTAAATCTGAAGTCACAGACAAAAGTTGCATACTTGTAGATATTTTTTTCTCTCCCACAAACACAACAGTTACACGTTCTTGAATCCTTCACTGCAGGTGCACAAATCATATTCTACGAATCACAAATCAAGAAACTCGTACGCTCACAAGTTTTGCTACTATTGCTGCAGTGAATATGGTGCAAAACACATTCACACACCTGCATCAAAAATGTGAAATCACAGACGAGTTTTGTGCATCCGCAAATCAGTTTGTGAATTCTTGCAATGAGATTTGCACGCTTGTAGAATGTTTTTTTACATATATATTTTTTTCTTGG